GACTCGAACCGTTCCAGGCTGAGTGGAAAGGGAAGAGGACAGGAGAGGCACAAATTTTCAGACAAAAGGCCAAGTGTAACCCCAGCACAAAAGGAAGACACTTCCTCGTTGAAGCCTGTGGGAGCTGGGCTGGCTCGAATCTAGCCGAGATGTGTCTGGTTGTGACTCAAGAACAGCAATGCCATGTGCTCGTGTGTGTCTGTGTGCAGGAGCTGCAGCCAAACCTGCTGACAGTGAGCTGGAAGGTCTCAAACCCAGCGAGGAGGAGAACGGGCCCAAGACAAGAGGCAGTTGCGCATTTCCTCTCAGTTGACATCTTAAACACAGGCCTGTAGTCTGAGGCCAGCGTGTAGGCAGGAGACACATTCTGGGGATCTGCTTAGCTATGGAAATTAGAGGGAGATGTTAGCCAGATCTGTGTGATGTTAGCTTGCTGCTAAATGCAGGATTTCTGCAGCAAAATAAATAGACCCTCTCAGTTCTGACATTCTCGAGTGGATGCAGGTGAGGCTGGTCAGGGGTTGTTGTGTCCAGTACAGGTGCTCTGTTCTGCCTAGAAAAGGCTGTTGAGATGTGTAGGTTCTCCAGTGGCTGTTGTACAGTTGTTTACACACACCTTAAGTTTCCTCTGCCTCTCCTTGTCCCATTTTGTCCGAGGTGAGAGGTTGGGGTTCCTTCACTTGTGGCACAGCTTTGCGTGTGGATGCTCAGCCTGTTTTGGGAAGAGGCAAATGACTTCCAAGGAAGTGGTTCCTTCACAAGGATGTGGTGGGGTGGGTTTAGTGTGACGTGAGGGAGTTGGACCCACATCCAACCCACCCTGATCTCTGCCCTCCCCTCCTGTCTCACCTGCTTTGACTGTGCTGTCCTGGTGAGGAGCTGCCACTGGCACCTGCAGCCTGGAGGGTGCCAGGCCTGGCCCAGGAGCTGCAGTGGCCTGAGGCACTGTCACAGCCCCTGATCAGGGCATGATTTGGCAAATCTGGATAGCTCTGTACCCATTCCTGCACCGTAAGAGGCCTTAACCTTTCTGAGGCATTTGTAACAGCAGACTCAGTTTTTCTCTCCCCACGTTACCTGATCTGCAGCGAGATCCAACTGACAGCTCACATGCAGCTTCCATCTGGTTTTTCACTTTGCTTCCCTAAATGGGAGGAAGCAGTTGTGGGAGAAGCCAGTGCTGCTGCTGAAGCCCAGCAGGTCCTCTCTGTTGCCTTTGCAGCTTGACGTGGAGCTGAGCAGCCACCTCTGCCCCCAGCGAGGACGAAGGGGTGGGAAAGGCCTGGCAGCTGCAGGAGGATGTGAGTTGGGCTGTAGTATGGAAGAGCTGCTAGGACAGTCCTGTAAGGGAGATGAGAACAGAGGAATTCAGTGGAGGCCGAGGAAGATCTTCCCGATCTAGAAACACGAGCTCCATTATGAGGTGGTTCTGTGAGTGCCTGACTAGTCGTGTCTCAGCAATCTGAGTCCTGGTAGTTGATACTGTTCCAGTGTAATATTATTCATGAGGCGGTTTTTCTATTTATGTTAATCAGAGATACATTTGCATGTTAATGGCAGTGTTTGTCTTCAAGCTAATATTTTCAGGGGAGGAGCAGGGAGGCGTTTGGAAAGGCGTTTGGAATGGGTCAGAGGAGACCGAGTGGGGAGAATCAAATGGAAATTTTTGGCCTTGTGTTCCAGGATTGGGTGGAAGGCAGTTCCTCCATGGGTGTCAGTGGGCTGAGGTTCACAGGAGTGCCTGGAGAGACTCAGGAGTGTAAGATTTTAACCTGCCCTGCGGGGGAACACTGGGCAGGGGCAGGAGCAGCCTCTTCCTGGCGTGTGGATGGATGGGTGGCTTTTCCAGAGGGCAAGGGCACAGCAACACCCTCAGCCTAACTTGTCTTGCTGGCAGCCAAGTTTTGACTCAGCTTCTGCAGGGCTGTAGATTAGCTCCCCGCTGACTCCATGCTTCCCCTGCTGAAGTGTTTGATGTGATTTCTGATGCTAAGCAGAATCTAGAGATCCCTCTCTTCTGCAAACTGGCAGTCTTTTCTTGCTCAAGGCTTTAGGCTGCTGATGTGTGGAGTAATGTTTAGGATCTGAAGGGACTGTAAATCCCAGAGTCAATGTGTGATTTGTAGGGAGGATCAGGCACGGAATATACATATATTTTAATTTTTTTTTTTAATTTCTGCAGTCTCTTCCAAGTGGAACTAGGCTAGGTTCTGCTTACAGGAAGCTGGAAATCCTCTTGGAGCCCATGGGAGTAGGGTGGTATCACCAACACTATGGGACACAGAGGTTCTTTTAGAGATTCTGGACAGAATGAGGATGGCACTAAGTCATAGTTAAAAGCTTAAAGCTTAAATTTCAAACTTTTTATAACTTAAAGGTTCATTTTCTTAAAAGAATGGCATGATTGACTTGGAGTTAGAAGGGCCCAAAGGGGCATAAGCCAGTCTGAGGCTGCTGTGAACTAAAGCAGGAAATGTGGAAGTGAGAAAACCCAGTGAGTGTGACAGGGCCTTCTGCATCTCCACGGACAGCTCTTCTCTGTCAGTGGATCCTTGGGTGACTCTGTCAGCCCAAAGTCTTAGGAGCACAGAGAACCCCTGGAAGACATGGTAAGCAGAATCCTGGTACAGCCTCCTAAGTAGTAGCTGCAGAATTAATGTGCAAGAGAGATTGTCTCTTCAGGAAGGAAGGTTCTTTTCCCCAAATATTTGCTTTCACAATTGAGCTTAGAGTGTAGTGTTTTTACCAAACCCTTTCCAGTGTTTCTGGCCAGGACTTTGCAAAGAGAATGGAATTGACTCCTGCATCCTACCTCCAAAACACCTGGATGTGGAGGGTGTTCTGTGATTTCTTTAGCTCCTTCCTTTCCACAGCCAGTACAGCCTCCCAGATTCCTGCAATTGGGGAAGTGAGAATGAGATGAAGTGAGTGAGCTGAATCTCCTTCAAGCTTGGAGACTTGGAGAGCTCGGGGATGGAGCGGTGGAGTGTCTCTCTTTTACCCCTACTAAATGGAGCTCCTTTGTCCAATCCTTGTTTTTTTCCTCATCCTCCCATGGGCTAAGGTTTTTGAGCCTGATAGTGTGCCTTACCTCAGTTTTGACACTCCTGAGCACTGAAATTTGGGACTCGATGGGGTTTGCATGCTTAACTCAGCAGGTAGCTTCATGTAGAGTTAACTCCTCATATCCTTAGTTTTGTAGGTTTGCTGGCTGAAGTGAGGGTGATGTCTTCACTGCATGTGTACATGATTCCAGTGCTTTGAAACAGTGGGAGGAATTGCTTCTTCCCAACTCCTGACCTGAGAGTTTTGTGTGCTAAACCTGACCCCAGTTACCTTAGAATGAATCTCATGTGATTTGCAAAGGAGCAGACTGGAGCAGCAGGTGGAATTAGGCAAGAGCCTAATTTTGTTTGAGGCTTTGGTGACCAGGCTCTTAGAAATAGGGTTTGGGCTGGTTCTGGAGTTGCTTTTGAGGCTTGGTGCCAGAGCAGCCTGTGATGGGGAGTGGAGGCAGAGGGGTGCTGCCTTTGCCATGGGAAGTGATGTTTACCTGCATGTTTCCAGGCCTCACTGCATTTGTTAAACTATCTGTTGATCTCACTGTTGGCTTTGGTGCATCATTCCTGGTTCAAAACCTGAGCAACAGGGAGCTGTAATTACCTCTTAGAGATATCTAACACTTGTGTGCTGTTTCTGGAGGGATATTTTTCCTAGCAAGAGGTGTGAGGACAGATGTGATTTGTTTAACTGCAGCAGCTTATTGGAGCTGGGATAGAAGAGCAGGATAATCTTGCTGCCATGGGTTGGGACTGTCGTGAGCATCTGGTTTCTGCATGGCCTAAGAGTGTTGTGTACCATGGAGTCACAGTGGGGTGGAAGGGAGAGGTCCAGACAGGCTCTGGATCCACCTTTGGATCTGTGGAGAGCTGGAGAGGCTCTGGAGTGCCCCACACCAGGCACAGGAATGCAGGGGCGGAAAAATGAGCCTGTCTGTTTGGGTCATAGCAACACATCTGCAGCCCCAGCACAGCAGTGTAAACAGGGATGTTTAGCAGCAAGGCCGGGGGATGTGTCCTGCCTTTGCTTGGGATGTGAGATGCCACCACGAGTAGGAGGGGGGAGTGAGTGGGTCAGATGCATTCTAGCGTTTGAGCCTATTCCCCAGTGCTTTGCCTGTCCTCATCTGAAGCAACTCGAGTGATGGAGCTTCAGGCACTTCCCCGGGGAGATCATTCCACAGTCTAATAAATCTCGTTCTGCTAGGAAATGTTTCTTGATAACCAGCCAAATTTTTCCTTTGCTTAGTTTCGTTTGATTATTCTTAGCATCAGAGCACCAAAAAATGATCCCTCTCCTTCCTGGAGGGGCTGTGGTTCCTCCCCTCCTCCCTTGGCTCCAGTGTTTGGCTAAGATGTTGAGTCATATCTTGACTAAGAATGTCAGGCTCTGGCCTTTTCATGTGGCTTCTTAGGTCAGCCCTTGCAGAGAGCATTTTTCTTTGCTGGTCTCTGTATTTCCCTTGTCGTGCCTGTGTACTTTGCTGTGTGTTTGTGCACATCATATGGCACAGAAGGCTGGGCCTCTCCTTCTGTGATTCGTGGACCTGGATCATGGAGCTTTTTCTATGAGCCTAAAATCCCAGACATTTTTCCTCTTTCCTCGCTTTTTTTCTTTGTTAAAAAAAATCAGTAATCATACTGGTCCTTTCCTCTCCTCTGATCCTTGTGTTTTAGGCTGGTTTTGCCTCAGATAAGATTAGCTTTCCTTTTGCTCCCCTGTTTGATCTCACCTTGTTCAACACCTGTATCAAACCTAACTGATTCACTAGGACCCTTTCCCAGGGCTTACCAGACCTCGGATGGGGCCTGCAAGTCCTTTAAAGTTGTTTCTTTGTCCTTTTGCCTAGTCTTAGACACATCCAAATTATGTAACATCTGTGTCTGTGTCTCTGCCATTGCCTGTCTAACCTGACTCTCTCTGTATCTGCTGCAGGTTGTGCTTTCCTCACGTACTGTGCCAGAGACTCTGCCATCAAAGCCCAGACAGCACTGCATGAACAGAAGACTTTGCCAGGGGTAAGTCCCAGTGAACTGTGTCTGGAGCTGATGCCACGGGCAGGGGAACGGGGATTGTCAGGGTGGGGAGCAGGGGTGAGAAGTGGCTTGATGAATTCTCCTGCGTGTGAAAGGAGGTGTGGTTTGGGAGTGAAAGCACAGCGCTGCTCTTCACAGAGCTGCTGCTTTTTTCTCTGCCTGGCCAAGGCTGCCCCACACAGCTCTGGCCAGGCCTGTTTCTGTGCTGCTCTTTGCACTTGGTGGTGTGATATCCCTGTCCCTGGGGAGCTGTGGGCTCTGTGGGGAAGTGAATGGACCCAACCTGCACACTGGGCATGCTGGAAAGCTTACGTGAGACAAGATACCAGATCCTTTTCCTCCAGGTGTGCAGAACCTCCTGGTGTACCCACTCATACTCTGCCAGTGCCCTGCAAGGTACCTGGGCAGAATTCTGGTGCAGTGGCTCAGTTGGATCAGCTCCTCAGAAGGAAAAAATACTCTTGCCACATCCCATTGTTTGGAAGAGAAGTGGGTGAGAACAGGACTGCTGACCCAGCTGTGGTCTGTTCCCCTGGTCCTACTCACTTAGTGCTGGTTTTGGGTGCAGAGTGCAGTAGGGATTGCAGGAGACCAAGCACCATGGAGCAAGTCCCTCTGCCTCCCTGGGACCTGCTGGTCATCTGAAAGGAGTTCTGAATTGTTGCCATTCCCATTTTGGTAGGATTTAAGAGCTTTGACTGGGCACTTCCCTTGCTGTGTTGAGGGGGTTGATCAAGCATGTTGGAAGGATTCATTTGGAGGTGAGTAGGAGGAGGAGTTGGGTACTTATAGATAGAAACTCACAGGAGGCCCTGAGTGCTCAAGGCAACAGAATAATTAATGTAAACCAAGGGTCTCTGGAGAGGGGTTAGGAATTCTTAACTGTAACGTTTCCTCTTTAACCCATACAGGTCCAAAGAGCTTCCCTCATCTCTCAGTTCCCCTCAAGACCCCCACGTGCATACATCCTTTTCTCTATTTGTTTACCTGTGCTCCCTTTTTGCATGGCCCTGTGCTGGCCTGTGAGTGCTGGCAAGTGCAGGTAACTTAATTACCTCTTGACAGGATCTTTACTGCTTCATGTTATCTCAGCACAGTCAGGGGAAGAGTGCAGATACCCAGGTGTTCCAGTCTGCTTGAGTTACTGTTTTGTGAGAGGAACCAGAGCAGTGTAGCTGTGTGTGCATGTTGGTCCAGGGCAGAATTGGCAGTGTCTGTGAGAACAGGTCAGAGGGTGGAGGAGCAGTGGTGAGGTGTCATGGTACAGTGTAGGGTGACACAAACTGTCACCTGAATGCATGACCAGTGTCAGCATGTTTAGAGACAGCAGAGAATCCAGCTGGCATGGGGAGGATCCTGTGCTGGTCCTACACTTGCTGTTGTGCTACAAAGCAATCTAGATGCCATGAGAACCCAAGTGCCTTTCTCTGTTGGTCTCAACAGTTCATGAACCTGACTAGAGACAAATTGCTCTCTCAGTTTAGACCCAGGGTTTGGTAAGGATGGATTTATGGAAGTGCTTTGATGTGGTTTCTGGGAGCTCCTTAAGCTCTTGGGTTCCCTTCCAAATCTGCCACGGGGCAGGTCTGTGCCCACAGAGGTATTTCTTAGGCCCTCCAGGTCTGACTAGCCCATCTAAGACTGTGGCTCTACTGTTCCCATGGGCCCATGAGTGCAGTGTAGCTTTTCTGAGGTTTTATATTTATATTTTATGTTTTCCACTGAAGTCAGTAGGAATCACCACGGTCTCTGGTGTTCCTGGCAAGCTCTCCCTCTGTGAGATCAAAATTCTTTTTTATTTTTAAATTGAGGGCTGTTGGATGTATGGTAACTAAATGGATTTAAACTCTGATTTTTTGACAGTAAGGCTTAGCATCTTTTTCTGAGGTAGACAGAATTTTGGCTTTTGTATGGGGTAGTGTGCTCAGGGTGTAAAGCAGCAAGACTGGCACAGAGTCATAGAATCATTTAGGTTGGAAGACACCTCTGAGATCATCGAATCCAACCATTAACCCAGTACTGCCAAGTCCACTAAACCTTGTCCCTGAGTGCCACATCTACATGTCTTTTAAGTCCTTCGGGGTGGGGACTCAACCAGTCTCACCTGTACAGTCAGCTGTACATTGTGTTATCTGAAACACCTGTGTGGCCTTCAGAGCTTGTGAGTTGTTGTCAGTGCAGGCTGGAGGTAAGAAATGTGTGAATACTCCTTTGGGAAGGAGGGATGGAGTTCCTAGAGCAGAGAGGTGAAGTGCATCCTTGGTGACTTAACAGAAGTGTCTCATTATCCAGGCTTGCTGAGGAGCTTAAAAGGATGCCAAGTGTCTGTGTCAGCTGGGGTGGGCAAGAGGAATGCCCTGCCTCGTGGCCGTGCAGACAGGGAACCTGTTTCACACCTTGTGGTGTGGACTGCTGCTTTCACCTGCAGCCAAGGGGCTCTGTGCAGCAATGCAGGTGAGCCCTGTACCTGCTGTGCCTGGCTGGTACAGGGACAAGTGGGAAGCACATCACTCCTGGCTCCCAGGGACTTGTACTGTGCAGTGTGCAGACAGCACCAGCACCGTGCTTGGGTCTGTGCCCAGCTCCATCTCCCAGCCAGCTGGACACACTCCTCCCTGCCCTGTGCTGTCTGTCCTGTGTGTGCCAACGTCCCATTTCATGTTCCCAGGTCTGCACCCTGAGGACAGGCTGGGGAGCTGAGCCTGACTCAGTCCTGGTGAAGCAGTTTGTTGTTGGAGCTGTCATAGGTGACGACAGATCTGCCTGAGGAGCAAAACAGAAAGCAGCTCCCTCTGTGGCCTGAGCACACAGGGCCTGGGGAAAGACACAACCCGTGTAGGCTGGACAGAGGCAAAATCTTCTGATCTGAAAAGCAAAGAGGAAATCAGGCCCTTAATGCTTCTTCCTAAATCTAGTGTCCTCTTCCGCTGCCAGGCAGCCTAGCAGGGCAGTGTTTCACCTCTCCCCTCTCCCTGGCACACTCCTCCCCGGCTCAGTGGAGTGATACTATATCTCAATAACCCATGCCTTTGATTCGTGATTGTGCCTTCACTTTACTGAGTTCTGAAAGGAATTGAAGAGGTTATTAATGACACCCAGTGATCACACAGCAAGTTTAAAGCCTCTTGCTAAGTGGAATTTGAGGGAAAAGTATCCAGCTTTTCGATATTTCGCAGAAACACTTCATGTGTCTTTTCATTTGCAGCCAGACAATTGCAAATTACATAAAATTGCTCCTGAAGAAGAGGAAGAAGAATAGAGGGAGGAAGCAGAGGGGGGGAGGTTTAAAAAAGTAATTCTTCTGGCAAGGTACGGTTACAGTTTTATTTCTATGCAGAACAAAGAAGTGCTTGCTGAAAGGTAGGCAAGTAAGTGGCAGAAATTGGTATTGATCCAAGCTGGGAATAGGGGCAGTTTAAGAGCAGTGATGGGGGTACTGAAATGTGGCTACATCATAGGGAGAACTCATGGATGCAGGGACACTGGAATGGAAAATTACAGAGAGCAGCAGCAAGAGAGCAGAGAGAGACTCTGGGAATGCACCAGGGGTTGAGATGCTGCAGCACTAACTCAGATGGTTGAGCACAAGGATTAGTGCAGAGACCCAGCAGAGCCTGAGCAGAGGGCATCCCTGTGGGTAGGCTGTCTCCTGTGCTGCCAGGAGCAAGGGCTCACTGTGGGCCATCTGTCAGGATCATAGCCTGTGATGATGTAAGGGAGCACAGGTAACTCGAGAGGCTGTGGCAGAGAGCTCAAAGCATCTCACTCTTCCCTCTCGTTCATACAAGTGCTGGTGTGATGCCAGCCTGGACCAAAACTTCTGAGGTTTCTTCATGTGAACACTACAGGGTATTGCAGCTGGCAAATCTGGGAGACGTGTTGAGGAGTGGAGTAGGAGGCCTGAATGTTTGACTGGGACTGGAGTGGCAGCTCAGTTGTTTATCTTTGCATACTGAACCTTTGGGTAGGGTGAAAAAGTTTTTCCCATGTCCATCCTGCAGGTCTGATAGGCAATACTGGCAAATTCCTGAGAGCCATGCAGCATTATCAGCAGAAGGCAGAGATACAGAGAGCATGCCAGGGCTGTCTGACTGAAATGGCAGCACCAGGACATAAAGGTACTGGGCTAAAGCAGCCCCTGGGCAAGAGCAGCAGCAGTGCCTGTTCACTGCAGAGAGAATTGCAAATGCTTGTCGTGGTGAGGGTTTGGCTGAAGGGGCTGAGAACAATCAGTGAGGCAAGGCAGCTGCCTGATGAAGTGCCTACCCTGAAGAGGCAGGGGAAGAGCAAGCTGCCAAGGCAGACATTGGCTCCTGCTGCCTGTGGAACTGGGGGAATAATGAAATTAAAGCTCCCACGTGCTGACTGAGTGCACACATGCAGGCTCTGTCCTGTGCACGAGGAGCTTTCCTTTGTCCAGAGGCATTGCTGTCCTTAGCACAGCCAGGCCCTCGTGTCTCCTTGCAGCACAGAGCTTAGACTTCTGCCTCCCAGAGTGGCATGTCCCTGGTGAGCTCACTTACCTGTGCTTGTGAACACACACACACCTGTGCACCAACCCCACAGACCTTGATCTGTGCAAAGGCACCCAGGGCAGGAACTTCCTGAGGAAAGATCCACATTCCATCTCCTTGGGTTGTTTGGTGTGTGTGCCTGCACATTTGTGACTATGGATATAGGATCATGGAATAGTTCATGGTGGAACAGACCTCTGGGTCTCTGGTCAAACCCCACTCAAAGCAGGGCTAATTGGATCATTGAGGACCTTCTCCAGATGAATTGTGACTGTCTCCAAGGGGATCCTGCAGTCACCTGGGGCATCTTACAGCCTGTCAGCATCCTTAAAGGCAAACACTGGTATCAGCTATAGCTTCTGCTGTTCAGCCCAGAAGTGGCTCAGGGTTTGTACAGTGGCACTGGGGCTTGGGCCCATTTTCTGTGGATTTTCCCATGGGTGCATCTTTATTGCCAGAGGATCTGCA